AAGCGGCGAAAAGGCACAGACGAAGGGAGAGACAACGGAAAACCTCGACATCCACTGGGGATCACGCCTTGAGTGAGGAGGATCTGCGACGCGAACGCAGACTATTGAGGGTGCAAAGGACATCAAGTGGAATGGTTCATGTAAAGAGCGTCGATCCCGAGGAAGGTGTCGACTGCCCCGACGACTATTTCCCATTCTCCATCACTGCAGGCGTCGAACGTGGTGCCAAGAACAGGTAAGCTAGGAGGGGATAGACTAGTTCTGCGGGCAATTAACAGTTTGTGTCGAACAGGTACAAGAATATTTGGCCCTACGACTTTTCGCGAGTGCGACTGGATGCCAAATGCCATGACGACGGCTCGGACTATATCAACGCCAACTATATTCTTCCTAAAGGCACAAATAAGCGGTATATCGCAACCCAAGGCCCACTGGACGCCACTTTCCAGGATTTCTGGACTCTTGTCTGGGAGCAACATGTTGACGTAATCGTCATGTAAGTGTTCCTGGTATAGACATTGATTTCTCACAATGTTAACCCTAATTTGCGGCTTCTATAGGCTTACCAAGCAATTCGAAGGCGGCGCGATTAAATGCGGGTCTTATTGGACTGACGGCACGTATGGCCCGCTTCATCTGCAGCTTCTTTCCACTACCGGTGGCGAGGACGAACAGGAGAAGGCTGTCTCGGGGTTCAATTTCCACGTCGGGACAGATAGACCTGCAAGCGGCATGCCCAATATTCACAGAGTATTCCTTTTGACGCATGATGGCTATCCCGATGTGCCGCCGAGAAAGATTACGCAAATCCAGTGCGTCTCATGGCCCGATTTTGATGTTCCAGAGGATCCGCATACCCTTCTGGGGTTGGTAAAAGAGGTCGATCAAGCATCCGAGGAAATGGCAGCTGATGCTGACGACAGGGAACATAAACCCCCTGTACTCGTACATTGTAAGTTCTTGTATGTTAACCCGGTCATGCGCTTTTTTCTCATCCTATCTCTTCAACAGGCTCTGCGGGTGTTGGGCGTACAGGAAGTTATATTGTCGTTGACGCGATGTTGGATGCCCTGCGCCGCGAGCATCACACGCATCATCGCAAAATCCGAGGTGCATCTCTGGGCCTCAGCAAGAGGCGACAATCCCGGCAGTATGAGCAAGGTGCTTTGACAGCAGAAGCCTTGCAAAATAGATTGCATGATCGACGTGCGTCTGTTGAATCTTCCAGCGACCTTTCTGTCGGTTCGCCACTATCGCCACCCGTACATGACGCCGGAGCAGCTCCGTCGCCTTTCATTCCGTTTCCCGCTTTGCAGTCATTCACATTCAGTCCGCCGATACAAGGTGCCGCAGAGCGAATGGATGTCGACCGCTTGCCAAGTGCAGAAAGTTTACAGACGGGACCGATGGGCAGGATCACCGAGGAGGTGAACGAGAAAGAGCCCCGCGAGTAGTAAGTAGTAGAACTCCCTCTTGATAGCGCTCGAGCTCTAATTGGCTTTACCCTCTAGCGATCTCGTCCATGAAATCGAGACTATTCCCAAAATCACAGCTCGGGCCAAGGATGCTGGAGATCCGAGTCCAGTCCTTGAGAAGCCTCAGCCAGTACAGACAATATTAGGCAATATGCGAGTACAACGCATGAGTCTTTGCCAAAGTTTGCGACAGTATTTGTTTGTCTATCGAGGTATGTCTTTTGCTCCAACTTGATACCTTGCTACGCTTATCGTCTTTGCCATCTCATACAGCCATCATCATTGGATATCTCGACATGCTGGACGAGGAAAAGGGAATCGAACAAGAACTACACACCAACGTGACTTCGCCATCGACCCTAGCGGCGCGAAGCACTAATCATTCTGGTGCTACAACGGATGAAGAAAATCAGATCAAACGTCGAGCTCCCGATTTTCAACTTATCGGCTCGAGCTTGACCAAGCGGCCTTCGATAAAGTCTTTTGGCGGCAAGCGAGGTCCACGCAACAATAGCGGATCGGACGAAGGCCGTTTAGATACTTCCGGTAATCCCATCCCGTCACCTTCTAGCGTCGGATCTGGATCATCATCCTATCGCATGACAACGACGGCCGCCGTTAAGGCACCAAGGTCCGCCAACTCGCTTGATTCGATCGAAGAACCCTTGCAGGACTCGATGATCGAAGAAGGAGCCGCACATGAACATCGAGCATCCCACGATTCTGGTTTCCACGACATGGACACTTCATGATACCATTTGCATTACTACAATCACCATCATATTCCGACTACATTCTGTCTCTTTTCGCTTCTTGTTGCCCGTTGCACATGTATCGTTAGAAATCTTGGAGTTTGCATCCCTGTGATAGGTCAAACCCCTATGGCACATGGCAATAGACATATAGTCGATCTAGCTCGCTATAAATTTGTAACGCTTATCAAGGAGATTAGATTAAAATGCATATCGTTTAGAAGATTAGCTCAGAAGAAGAAGAAATCTCCAAAGCAGTGATGACGTGTCGGCAACACGATTGCAATGGCACCGAGCGAAAGATGAACATGATGTTGCGAGACCCCTTTTGAGGGGTTTAATTGTACGCGGTCATCGTTTGTATGCGCTGGTTCTCTCTGCCTAGCTGACACTCTGAGCTACCAACCAAGACCAGGTGAAAGCGAAACAACCACAATGGTCAACCATTTTCAGGATGCTATCGTTCTCTTTGTAAGTCTTCATTCACGCGTCGTTTCTCCCGGGCAGATTGACGGAGAGGTGTTCGCTTGTACAGGGAGACTCCTTGACTCAAGCATGGGGAGAAGGATCTCTTGCGCATCTGATGTCAGGTACGTCGCTTGCGTGTCAGGCATTGGAGAAAGTCGATGTGATGGACTGATCGCCGACGAGTACATCATAGAGGCGTATATGCGGAAGATGGATGTACTGAACAGAGGTTTTGGAGGCTACACTACAGAATGGTAAGCTATCACGATGTTTTGATAAGCTCGAATAGGTCTCACGTAGCAAATCATGTTTGATCAGGTCACTTCCTCTCTTTGACAAGATTTTCGCCAAAAAGGACAAACAGGCGGGACTTCCTCCGGTGAAGCTGGTGACTATCTGGTTTGGTGAGTCGACTATCATTCAAACACCCAACTTTGCTGACTCTGCTTGGCTTTAGGTGCCAACGACGCCAGTGTACCCGGCACGGCTCAATCGGTCCCTCTGGAGAAATACGTTGACAACTTGAATTATTACATCTCATGCCTCGTCGAGCCGTCATCCGAGTACTATCAACCTGAAGCTCGAGTCGTCCTCATCTCTCCTCCACCTTTTGTTCTCTCCATGCGTCTGGAGCAGCCATTGCCTCCGCATGTTTCAAAGGGAGAGCAGGGGAAAGAACGGACGCTCGAGCGCACCCGACAATTCAAAGACGCCTGCCTTGCCGTCGGTAACCAATGGTCAAAGAAGACGTCAGGCAGGGTACAGCTCCTGGATCTCTGGAAGGTAGTCGTAGATGCCGCTGGAAGCGAAAATGACAACGACCTGCGACCGTTGTACACCGATGGTCTTCACCTCCGACCCAGTGCGTATCGACTCGTGTTCGATGGGATTATGAGCATTGTTGGGTCGCAGTGGCAGGATTTGGATCCAGCCAAGATGAAGATGACAGTACCTAGGTATGTGGCTGGAACCGGTAGTTGGGAATGGTACACCGTGCCTCCCATGCTCAACCGCAAGGCGTGAGTATGTGTAGCAGTGTGTACTTTCAGCTTACTGATTCTCTTCTCGTCATATCCATACTTTGGTATCGATACAATTGTTTGCCGCCCGATAGCTGGTCTGAACTAGAACCCGTCAAGCTAGAGGATTCGTCTCGCGAGATATCATCGGAAAGGGGAAAGGATGAATTGTAAGATGTCGTAGGATGGGGGTGAAGAGGCGTCTAGGAGGTGCATGGTCTATCTTTTTTGGGAGTCCTCAAGACTGGTGTTGTATGGTTTTTTTGCATATAGAGGCGTGTGTTATCGAATAGAGGTGTTTAATGGGCATACAAGCTGCAACTTAACAATGAAGTGGTAACAATGTAACGTGAAATGCGTCTGTCGGCGCTCGCTGCGTGTCTGAGCGGCGCTGGAGCTCCCGATGATACAGGCATTCATATTGCAAGTCATGGCGCACAGTCGGAGCACTAGAGCGGATCGCAGGCAAGAGCCGAAGTTCCATACGGGAACGGACCCATGGAGTACAGATGATATTTTACCAAACAGGCGGACTGGAGCGATACATTGACTCTCCTGGACGTCGACCACGCACAGATCAACCGAGTACTGCAGACATGACTTAAATAGAGCACTCTGGTATATTCCATTGACGGCCCTAGAGGACTTTGGACGACGCCTGGCACATGTGAAAAACGGAGGACAGGAGGTCAGTCGAATTTTCTCTGGTTTAGTTGTCAATACACATGTTTTAGCGGTAACATGGAGAGAATCTTATCCCCTGCCACGTCCGGTCGCTAGCTCGGTACCCCAAGGACTCCAGCAGTCGCAGCTGACTTCCAGTCACCACGCAATTCTGTACGATGAACGCGCCACCGATGTACCTGCCTTAACAAATTCGAGAAACGTCACCCACGGGTACCGTCGTTCCTTTGAAAGGTATACGAATGAACACGAGGTAGTGCAGAGTAGTATAATATTCAGTGGGAAGGCAAGACCGCTGCTCGGGATTGTCGCAGCATGCGAGATTGCGCAGGTAAAGACGAGGCTGATTCCATGATATACTCGGCGATTGAAAGAGTGGTGGCCATGCCTCGTAGCAACTACGGCAATAAATATTGCAGATGTTGGCCTATGATGAGAGGATAAATAAAAGGTGAAGGATATGGCTCAACGACCTGTTGTATGTTTTAAGCACTCAAATATCAGCTGGTTTTGTAGTTATTAGTAGCAGAAGAACGTGGTGTACAGGACATCTACGGCTACGGTACGGTTCAAAAGGACCCGTCCTTGGAGTGCCAAAAAGAAGGTCCTACTGGGTTTCGATCCCAGGGCCTTATGCGAGCTTAAACAAACGAGGTGTTTGTTAAGCATACGTTCTTCCACTGAACTATAGGACCCGATTGTATTAGGGGACTGTAAAATAGTAATACACTCTGTTCTCAAAGCATTCCTTAACATGTGATACTAGGCTCCTTGTCGTAATCGCTGCCAAATCGCTACCTTTTCCCTAAGAACTCCGCTTGGTCCAACCACCTCTGCCTTTTCCCAAGAACCTCCGCGAGATCGAAACCTGTAGAATACCCCAGGAAGGCTGGGAACGACATGTTTTGTTGGCGATTTAACTCTATACTTCGCTCAGTCGCAGTTTTGGCTTCTGTCCATCGACCTCTTGTTTTCATCCTTGCAAACATGTGCATCGTCTTCTTTCCAGCTTGCACTACTGCATCTTCGCTGGAGCAGACCAAATCTACTAGGAAAAACTCCGCTTCAGAATTCGTCGCAGATGCAGTCATGTCACTTGTGATTTTCGAGTGAAGGCGAAACAAGTCGTCGGCGACGCATAGGCTATCTGTCACCCTCCTCAATCCCAACGAAGCTGCTGTAATTTCATAAGCCCCGTCGAACCGCGCTGTCACCAATTGAAAGCGATGTTACCCTCACTATGTTCTGCGCTTTCGGGGTTTGAGGACAGGAAGAATGGCACAAGCAACCTCCTTCCGACACCACGAGTATATCCAGACGGTGGAAACGCGACGAATCCCTTGCCCTCCTTCGGCTGTGTCAGGCCAAGAGGGCCACCATGAGCGCAGTGCATCAAATTGTTTCTCCCGTGTATTGATGCCTTCTGGTCGGAGCTCTTGTGGGCATTGGCGAGGGTTATCTGCGTCGCAAGCGGGGACGACTAGACGAAGGGGTTGCGTTGGCAACAAGAAAGAGGATGAGCGGCGTCGCAGCATCTGATGTAGAAGTGGATGATGTACCGACAAGAACAGTTTACTGCGCAAGCTGCTGAGCGAACGCATGCAAGTGCGACCATCTGCTGAATCGGTGGAGTTATCAACGCATGATTTTGGGAATCACCTCATCGTTTTTCTCCAGAGTGCCGGCTCAGCCGACCCATCATCAGAGACAGGCTCGGGTGGTCTCGTCTCTAGGGGATAAGGCATAGCTCCAGTTACTGATACCGATAACCGCAATGCAAAGATCTGAGCCTAGACAATGTAGCCAGAATGAAGAGGCAGATGGAGAAATGTTTTTGGCATTGCACATGATAGAGAATCAAAGAGACGACACTTTTTAAACAATTTATAAACACAACCAAAATAGATACGAAGGAAACAGTTTTCAAGGGTCGTAAGCCGAAGCGAGTGTCGAGCGAGTGGGAGCGTCATTGAGAAAAGTGTTTGAAAGACGGAAAGAATATAGAACGCCGGAGTGACGGTGGTTGTTGGAAAGTGAATAACGATTTTCCCGCTAATGCTGAAAGGAAAACGTGGGAAAAAAGGCGTAATGGCGAAAAGGCATAAAAACACCGACAGTAATCGCGAAAGACCCGGAAGCGACGACTGTCATGACCCCGGGTGGTAAATTATAACCGCAAGCAAGCGAAAGATCGTCGTCGAGCGGCGCGTGAGAAGAAGTCCCCCGGCCTAATCGTCCCTCGGCGCAGAAGGCGCCGAAACACCAGCAGCAGCCGCAAGCTCGGCCATTGCCACCGTTCCATCCCCGCGCTGCTGCTGCTGCTGCTGCTCAATCGACTGCCCGATGCCCGCTGTCGGTGATTTCGCACCGGCCATCCGAGCCGCTGCGTACGCCGCCAACATCTGATCCGGGTTCGCTGTTGCTACACACGCAAACACACACGACGAGAAGGGATTAGTTGCGTATACGGGGGAAAGGATGAGGGAGCGGAAGGGTTAGTGACGTACCAGACATGGGCATGCCCATCATTCCCATTGGACTTGGTGCGCGCATTGTCCCATTCCCGTTCGCGCCGTGCGGTGGGACAACAGGACTAGTCACCGTCGTATCCAGCAACTCGATCTCATCATCCCCTCCCTGCTGTGCCTGTTGTTCATAACGCGACCGACGCCCTGCTGCCTGCTCATCATCATCATAATGCGAAGCCACGGTGGATCGAGTCGAATACTGCGAGATGGCTTGAGAACGACGAAGCATGATCGCTTCCATATCCCTCACCCCATCCGCACTCCTTCGCGTCGCTTCAGCCTGTTTCCATTCCTCTGTTCCAATCCCGGCAGAAGAAGGAACAGGAACACGTCCGCGCGCCGTGGCCGTCGTCGATTTCTTATCCTTCAACCCAACGGCGGAAGTGATACTGGAAAAGAACCCGGCTACACCGCCGCCGCCGCCGCCGCCTGTCGAGCCAGAGCGTGCGCGGGCGGGGACGGCAGGTACGGCGAATGGTCCAGCGACTTGCGAGGGTGAGACGGTTGCCATGTTATCCCCGCCGCGGGAGGGCGAGGGAACGGAACGGGATGCCATCATTGCGTGTGCACCATCGATCGAGTGTCTCCCCGCTGTAGGACTCGCTTCGGCGCGGGACATCCGATCAGCTCCATTCACGTTTCCGTTCCCAGATGAGAGTTTTCCCGAGTTGGACGACGTGGAAGCGAGGACGTTTACGGAGAGCGTTGATCGCGAGGGACGGAGTGCATCACCGAATGATACACGTGATTGTCGTTGTTGCGCGGCTCCCGGTGCTCCAGCAAAGGAAACATGACTCGTCCTCACTCCACCAGGCATCGTCGCCAAATCGGCATTCGAGACGGTGAATATCGAAGCCGGACGTCCACTGCCGGAATCAATAATCGAACGTCGTTGTTGGTATCCTTCCTGTTGAGGAGGTCGGAAAGCAGTAACTCCACGTCCTGCAACGTTATTCTCCATTCCGTAGACTGACGAGTTTTTCGTCCATGCGGATACCGGTCGTCCTGCCCCACTCGGAGGGTTACCGGCGGCCGTGGAAAACATACTCGACCGGGCAGCGGCTCCGCCTGCTGATTGGGAGTAGATGCTTCCTGTCGCACCAGGAGGCGCACCATGCCTCCAATCGGCGGACAAGACGCTCATTCGTTGATCCACATGCGCCGACCAACGTTTTCGCTTTTCCCGTTCGCGGAGTCTGGCGAATTTGACGTATAGGGCGACGAGTAGGCCGACGACGAGGACGGGGACAACGATGGCTGCTGCGATTGCGCCCTTTGGGAGGCCTCCGGCTGGGTGTAGCGCGCTGCTGAACATTCCTGGGTCGTCTGATGCTGCGCCTGCTGCTGTGCCGTTTACCGCTGCCGTGTTGGTGGCCTTGGACGCGGATTTGGAGGAAGCGATCACGGCGGATGCGGCGGTGACGATTGTTGTTCCACCCTGGATGATTGTTGTGCTCAGTGCGTCTTTGGCGGTGTACAAGTCGAATGTTGGGCCGACGGGGACACTGGATAACCATCGAGGTACATTGGCATCGACGATCGCCAAGTATACGGAAGCCTTTGTTGTATAGTTCCACCAACGAGGGTCTAGTTGTCCTACAGAGTATTCACCTTTCGAGTAATCGACGCCAGGGTAGGAATGGAGTAGGCCTTGTGCTGTTGTGTATAGGTATAGATCGATAGAGGTCGTGGCTGGGAGACAGGTTGTGTCCCATTTGAAGGTGACTGCCGAGGAAGAAGTGATATTGGCGCCTTGTTGCGGGAAGACGTACAAGTCGCCTGCAGAGAGGTCGCAAGTCGCTGCAAAAAGGGTGCCAGAGTCAGTCGATATTAGTATCCCTTCCAGGTAGGCAGGCAACAAAGAACACAGACGTACCTCTTTCCACCATATTGTTATGCATTTCCCGCTTACTTGCAAGTCCGCGTCCGTGTCCACCACCGAGTCCCACCCGAAATCGGGAAAGATTGAATCCGGTCATTTCGTATGTGTGTGAGTGTATGTGTCTGTGTGTGTTGGTAACGAGCGTCTGTATGTCGGGTCGCTTCGTTTCGGGTCGGGTCGGGTGGACGTGTTGATTGATTGAACGAATGAGTGTAGATAGGAAAAGGAGAACCGGATCAATCAGTCAAAGGATGTCGTCCCCTTCCCTTTCTCTCGGTTTAGCCCTCTATTCCCCTATTGTTGTTGTTCATTCTTTCGTCTGGCATCTGGTTCGCCCCCCGCAGAGGAGCGCACGGGCACAGCGTTGGCATGGGCGCACCCTGGCAGTTCAGTGAGCTTCTACCCTCGGAGGTATTTCCGCGGGCCCCGATTTCTCGATTCGGTGCGTGCGTCGGTACAAGTAGCTGAGAGTAGGGTGGGTAGGGTAGCTATATCTCTATGTAGACGTGCAGGGCCAAGAGAAGATTACAAGGAAGATCATTCCCGAGCTAGTGTAGACTAGTTGTTTGGATGAACAGCAATGGGGAGCGCGCGGGGATGAAGGAGGGCGTGATGTGCGGGATTCATCATGCAATCATGCACATGTATCCATGCATAATTTTTTTTCAGGTGTCCCATATATGAAAGCGATCAAACAAGGTTTGCTCTACCATTCAAAGAGAGGAGGAAAAGACGGTAGTGGTATAGGACCCGGTGTTATGTGCTTCAAACAAGCTACTGAACGCGTGTTCGAGAGCAACAGGAAGACGAGCGCACAGCTGTGTCGCTCGACAGGTATTGACGACCTACTACCCGTCTTTCATTATTTGATCTCCTGTAGTCAGGCTGGTGGGATGATGCCTCTTGTCATGCCCTTCAGATGCACACGGCGAGGGCATTCTACAGTGTTATCAAGGGAGTGAGTGACGAGTGAGGAGTGGAAAGAAAGTGAATGCCAACGCCGTTATACGCTTGCTCACGTGCGCGTAGAGGTGATCGAGGCATACAGGCAGGCAGAATAACGACCTTCTTCTTCTTTCTCTTGAATCCAATTTATTCCGTTGCGCACTATCCCCCCCATCCAACCAAAGAGATACAGATAACCATCACCTACATCTAAAGACAGTATACCTTTCGCAAAAGGAATCAATGTCACGATCATCTCCTGCTTTATCCGCTGCAGGCACGGGAACACCTCCGCTCCCTCCACCGATTGACCAGTACCGCACGATACCGACAGTCCTCA